TGTGTGTGTGTGTGTGTTGGAATCACAGATGCAGTTGTTGGGATGTTGGATTTAAATTTGACCTTTAATTGGAAGAAGAGTTTGTGTCCCGTTAAAATGAAGATTTGAGCTTTTTGTCAAAGCTTTATCACATTTTCTGTCATTTTCAAAGTGAACTTTGCATCAGACCTGTAGATTATTAAAGAAACACAAGTGGTCAGAACAGAAGGTGAGAGAAGGACGAATGTGTTTATAATGTAAAACTCACCAGGAGCAGAGGCTGCATAATGTTCCATATCACAAATATCACGTACGTGCTCATCATTGGTACAATCAATGTCTCCCGTCACCCCCCCAACACCAATCACAACCACTCGATATATAAAAGACTGAACCAGAACCTGACGACACTTTGTCAAAAAGAGAAAAAAGAAAATTGACTTTGAGCCTCATCCTCCTCTCGTCCAGCGGAGTCATCAGCTGATGACAGCAGATGGGTCGCGTTGCCAGGGAGACGCCGCTGTCAATCATATCTGATCAAATAAAAGCCTCGACTTGGATGAAAGAGACAATTTGACTTATTAAGTTACTGATGTCAGACCTTGAAGATCTTTTCTGAAAATCCAGTCACCAAGATTTAACTTTTTATTTCAAAGGAATTATTAGATATGAGAGACATTTGGATCAGTCCGTTGATTTGATTCTTTGTATTTTTCTGTGTGATATTGTTTTCCTGTAGAAACACCTGCATTATGTTGTGTATGATTCAGCTGCAGAGATCATGTGATCATGTTGACATCACACCGTCATCAGCTCTTATCCCCACAAACTCTCTTCACGTCTTCGTCTGTGACTCCACATTTCCTTGACGCAGAGATATTGGTTTTCTTTTTGGTTTTTTCAGTTTTGCGTCGTGACAGAAGCTCATCAACCCTCTGACTCGCTCTCGATCCTGAAGTCGATCTCCTGCTGTGGTCTCACATCAGCTCCTCTGGACTTCCTGCAGACTTTAAACCAGATGAAGAAAGTCTGCAGAAACTCCAGAGGCTCACACTCGGATATTAGCATTCACACATACTCCTCTGGAGCTCAGTGCATGTCTGACAGCAGCTTCAGTTACTGCCTGCACCTTCTCTTTGCTTGGGGCTTCAATCTCTGTCCTTTCCTTTCCCACGACGTCCTCTGTTATTTTTCTCTGCCTCGTCTCTCTGCTGCTGATTTCATACTTTCACTGAATGACAGAGACAGAGGAGGGGAGGAAGGCAAGAGAGAAAATGAGATTGTGTATGGAACAGGTCAGAACATTGGTAGTTTTATGTCCAAAGAAGAGAGACAGAAAGCCAGAGGACAAGAGACCGACATGGTCTTAGAGAAGACACAATATTCTGCAGGAGAGAGAAAGACAGAGACACTGGGCTCAGTCCCTGATGGAAAGAGAGGAGGAGGATCGCTGAACAGCCATGAAATATTCTCTCTGAAGATGGTCGGCCTGCAGGTCCGCAGTACGCAGAGAGGGGGAGGGGGAGGGTGGGGGGATGCAGAGAAAGAAGCGATGAAGTCATATTTAGATGTGATAGAGGGAGTAAAGAAGGGAGGAGTTGCAGAATAGACGTAGAACCACAAAGAGACAGAACTAGAAAAGATGTGAGTCAGCACAAAGAGGAAATAAGTGTGAAGAGATTTAAAACATGTTGAGACAAAGAGAAAGACAGAAAACAAAGAAACAACAACGGAGCAACTTTATGGTTTATCTCAGTCTGGTGCCGGGCTCCTGCAGGGGCCGGTTGCCTCATACATCCATGAATATATATTACATACACTCAGTGATTGGTGGGTGCAGTCATTTGTCCTCTACACAGCGGTCATGACGTTATCCCTTCATAACAGGATCAGACTCTAAAGATAAAATCCCACAGTCTTTGTTCTGTGAAGAAACTCATTCCAAAGTTCACCTGAAGATAGTGTGACGCTGGTGCTGTGAGTTTCTCCACAGTTTCAGTGTTTGTGGTCCAAGTGAGCCAGTTTGTTCTGTACCTGCAGGGTCTCAACGAGAAAAGCTGTTTTATGTTTGTCATAACATCAATTACATAAACTGTAAATTAAGATGGAGAAGAAATTAAGCCAAAATATCTCAGATACAAACTCCACCATCTTGTGCATTTGCAGTCAGTCTGCGCAGTATTGATCGGGGAAGGAACTACGATGTCGATGTTCCGCCCGTACACGCACTTCATCTGACTACACTACATCCTGAGTCAGTCTCAGCTGTCAATCATGATGTCTCTGCTCGGTTTTATATAATCAAATAAGTAATTAAAACCAAAAATCCTAAAAGATTCATGCAAGAAGAATGAGAGAGCTGAAGCTGTGAAGACATTACAAATTAATAAGAGGAGTAAAAATCGAAAGGATGTAAAGAGAGGGATGAGAGGATGAAAGAGGGAAGACACAGATGTTGAGATGCAAGAGAATAGAAGAGTGAGAGACCCAAAGATATGAGTGTTAATAACATCATCTGAAACTGGGAGGAAGACGGGATAGAGAGAAAGAAGAAGAGAATAAAGAGGTGGAGAAGAGAGCCGGAGGCCGAACTGAATGAAGGGAGGGGGCAGTGGGGGGGGTGCATGTGATCAGATGTGTGCATGTGATCAGACGTGTGCATGTGATCAGACGTGTGCACGAAGTGTGCATGTAGACGTGTGCATGTGATTACAGGTGTGCATGTGAT